TATGAGGAAAAGTTGAACAAAACGTGAATCAATAACAAGATGTACAACCGATAAAGCGTATTTTAGAATGAAGAATGATGAACTGCGAATTAGACTCAAACATATTTGTTTAGATTTTGGGCTTAAACAACATTATCGAGTTATAAAAGAAAATCGATTGGGCTTTAAACTCAAATATGACGAATGAATTTGAACATTTATTTTGGGCTCATAGTTGGAGATGAACAGTATCGAATAACAAGAATTGAGCTTTTGAAACAGATTTTGATTAAATTTTGGGATCACGATCAAACAGAATTGAGTCTCAACGAATTTTGGCTTGATCAAAAAAAATTTAATTGGATCAAACAAAAGGAATTGAAACAAATTAGATCCAATGAATCAAAATGATCAAAAATCAAGAACGCAACGCACGAATCAATGAGATTAAGAGAGATCATAGAGAGAGACTCACCAAAAATGCTCCAATTGTGACAGATTTTGCCAAACCGAGAATCGTTCTTCAAAAAATCACGTTGATCTTTGAAGACCCGCTCTGATACCAATTGTAGAAGTGATAATCGAGTATGAAACAAGTCAGAGTCAATCAAATGTAATTTGAACACGAGAAGTAAATATAATGTGGTTTCAGCTCTATTACTTCCGATGAACACGAGTACAAAATGATAGTAAAAAGGGTGAACTTTTACAATCACTCTCAAAATCTTTATCTCATGTCAAAAGGCTAATGTACCACATGCAAGTGGGTTTTACAAAATTCAAACATATACAAAGTCAATCATGAATAACTTTGTACCCCAACAATATTATCCATATAATATCCACACTGCTCTGAAACGGGTTTGTAGGTTCAACGTCAGCTGGTATAGCGTGTGATTGTTGTGGTTGTCCCCGCTCTCCTCGTCCTCGCACATTTCATCTACTCCTTTGCATCGGCTCCTCCACTTAATGAACGGCCTCAACTGAGTCATCAACCGAAATAACATAAACTCCTCTTACCAACTCCGCAACTCGCATGGTCTTTAAAAAACTAATAGCGAGATTTTTCGTGTGACCTTGTGTCAATGTTGCAAGAATGCCCGGGCTTAACAAACCGTAAGACCTTTCCAAACAAGTAACAAAGTGTCCCCCGATAATTTTACTTATTGGTCGCAAATTTATAGCATTTTCTCCAAGAAAACGGGCCAACATATATGGTAAATCTGTCACACCCCCAAACCGGATCGGCGGAAACGTTCGGGGGTGGATGACGTCATATGTAGTATCACAACAATTGCATCATAGTAATCATAGTAAACACAACTATTACATTGAATACATCTATGAAAAGGGTATTTACATCGGCTTGATTCTTGTTTTTATACATCAAAAGTATAATCAAAAGAAAAAGACGTGACTCTATACGCTCCGTCTTCTCAAAACTCCAGGAGGTACCTGTCTATTGATTTCCTTAGAATACAAGCAGTTTTGAAAGAGTATCATCATAAAGCTGGTGAGTTCATAAGTGATGTTTTTTGTAATGAAAACCCATTGATGATTCTGTAAAAATGTTCGCATGTTTCCAAGAAAATCCAATATTTTCTTTTGTAAAAGTGTGATAATATCAGTTCTATCTATGACCACTTAGTTCATGTTGGCCATGTATAAATTAATATCGAGCAGACAGTTGATTATGTGGATCTGCCCTAAGCCCACAACCAAACAAGGAACAGGAAATGAGGCGGAAACCACACATTCCACAGTCTATCGAATATTCTCCATACGTAGCCCTAATGCCTAAACTAAGGAGTTATAGAATTAACTATGAATGTTTGTTACTGTATCCTGTTGTAGTATAGGAAAAACATTAGTTTGTAAATCTGGTTATTTACCAATCGTAGTATGTGTGTATTCTTGCACAAAAACCTTTGTATATTATGTTCTGTATGAAACCCTAGTTACCAGCAGTATGTACAGTATGTTCTGTTTGAAAACCCTGGCTACCACCAGTATATATAGTAGTTTCATTACTTAAAATAAAATTAATGAAGAATGAAATCCCGTAAACAAATGGTTAGTTTATACTATTGTGAGTCGTATAACCATGATTGATATGACCTAGTGACCTTTACGACGTTCTTCAAGTGTCGGTTAAATGACATTTGTCACCTCAGGCATGCCTGCCTAACTATAACTAGCAGTTCAGGTGTGGGATTGTCAGTCCCGAATAGATCTATTCACAAATCTCACGCTCTTCCTCCAGGAGACTCTGGTTATACTATGATAGGATTTAACCTGTACACCGAAGGGTAAAATTAAAGTGTTGTCTCACAATCCTGTATTAACTAGTTTACGTGTAGTTCTGTATCAATCAACTGTATTTGTACTCGTGTGTTTACTGTATATGATAATAATTATAATTAAATAATTATTACTATTGTAGTAATGTATATCATAAACTAAAACTGTCATATTTTATATGTTCACCCATGTATGTAATCTGAATCGGTAAAAGTTGTGTATTGAATTCCTCAAACTATACCCATTATAGTTTGCTTGAAATGTTATGTACTTGGTTTGTAAATTGTTCTGAAAATTATGCAATTATGTTTCCAAGATTAAAGTGTCCCTTAAGCTCAACATAGTACAAAAGGGATAAAATATCTAAATATTTTATAAAACGTGAGAATCGTTTGACTGTATCAATTGCATAAGTTTTAAACCCGCTAAAACCTTTTGTTTTGGTTCACAAAATCATTTGTGTTTGACTTGTATTCCCCCCTGAAAACATTAAAAATCATAAAAGCGTAGGGTATGAACTCATTGTTAGTTGTGTACAAGCGTCGAATCAACGAACTGAAATGAAGACCCTCGGGTTGTAGTGTGTGGCACTTAACGGAATCCTAATAGCAATTATATATATATATATATATATATATATATATATATATATATATATATATATATATATATATATATATATATATATATATATATATGTATCTAAATTAGTGATTTCGTTAGATAAAGTGTTAGAAAAACACTTGCTTTCGGTTAAGGAATGTTACCGGGACTTGATTGAATCGACGAAAGTGGGTTTTCAGTCTAATGCACCACTTAGGAAATGTTTACGTCCGTGAATGGGGTTTACGGCCGTCAAGGGAGTTTACGGCCATGAACTGTTTACGGCCGTGAACTGCCTCTCGAAGGGTTTACGGCCTTTGAGTGTTTGAAGTGTGTACGGCCGTGAACTGGTTTACGGTCAATGAAGATTTGCAGACTTGAAGGGTGTACGGCCGTACACTCAAGAACAAGGACGCTGGATTCGATGAAAACGTGTTCTAGATGCTCCAAATCAACTCCCAATGACGATTCTCGATGATTTTCAGAAGGATAAGGGTGTGTTTTTGGGGTTTACGATCAAGAGGTAGAGAGAGAAGGAGAGAGTTTTCAGCCAGAAAAGTGTAAATGAGGGGTGGGGTCTCGTATTTATAGGGGGTTTTCATGGTCGGTGGTGGGGTCCACCCGACGTTGGCCGTAAACGAGTGTACGGCCATACACGGGTTTACGGCCGTAAACTCACTTAGGCCGAAAATTGTTTTGTTTTTCAAGAAGACTCGGGTTTTTCGCGCGATCTTGTTTCCGACTCGTATAAAATTTAATTATATAAAACTATATGATTTTCTAAACAAAGAAGTTTGACGGGAACTTAATAAAATTCAAATTTTATTTACGGAAATCGGTTAATGGAGCGAAACGTTGTCCGAGTTCGAGTCATCACTTTAACAAGTGAGTGCATAATCTCTTTCATGAGCATAATTTTAATACAAGTATTAATTAAAGTATTAAATATATTTTTATATCTGAGATATTTGATATTCCATAAAATATGTGTTAAGAGCATATCTGATAATACATGATGATTTAGGACTTACAGAATAAACCTAAATTAAATAAGATGAATATCGGGTAGTATCTCCTTATGAGTACGGGTGAGATATACACGGAGGGTAGAACTCTAAAATTTGTCTTTGATTCGTGAGCATGGATTATACATAGTTATTCGTCCATAGTCCGAGAGTATGGAGTACGCATAGTCATTTTTCATTTATCCGAGAGCATGGATTAGACATATTCATTCGTCCTTACTCCAAGAGTATGAATTAGGCATAGTCATTTGTCGATAATCCGAGAGCATGGCTTAGACATAGTCATTCGTGCCTCGTCCGAGAGTATGGAGTGGGCATAGTCATTTTTTATTGACCTGAGAGCATGGATTAGACATAGTCGTTCGTACCTGATCCGGGAGTATGGATTTGGTAAAGCCGTTCATTTTAGATCCGAAAGTATGGATCGTGTCGTTATGAGGATCGACGGGGTGGGGTAAATTGCTTATATGAGGTGAAATTGTATCTTGCGAGTTCTAATATGTATATATATATATATATATATATATATATATATATATATATATATATATATATATATATATATATATAGAGAGAGAGAGAGAGAGAGCTAGGTTCAAGTATTCTAACTAATTTTTGTGTGGAGGTAGCAATAAACGTGGACCAATCAAAATTAAATAAATAATTAAATAATTAAATAAATAAGTAAGGGTAATTTAGTAATTTGATTAATAACTTCCACAAATACTTCCTATAATCAAGGTATTGATAGATTGACTTTTAACATAATTTCTCCCCGTCTATATCTACATCCTTTTTCTCTTTCTCCAAAAACCAAATATTGGCCGCCTACCACAACCACTGATCCGGCAGCGACCACAACCATCGATCAACTTATGTGTGCCATCTCTCATCAACATCATCTTATCAATCCAACCCCAATCACCATATACCCTTGGGTGAACTGATGAACGAAGGCGACGAGGGGGAAAATACGAAGGCTTTGTTGGTGACATTCGTCGATCAGATGGAAAGCAGAGGTCGTCGTCTCCGGGGTCGGCGAAGAAGGTATGAGAGTTTCAATCAGTAGGAAGGAGGCATAAAGGTGGCTGAATGGTTCGAAGGGTTCCGATCGTTTGCATTTCTAAGGTTACATCTCCAGAATTTTACGACCTTGAGGTTCAAAAAAGGGAAGGGTCCGATGAGGAAAATCAATCGACGAGGTTGAGACCTTCGGGGGTCTATGGCGATGTGAACAGCGGAGAAAGAAACGAGGGGTTGAAGATGGGGTGCTCAGCTCCGGTAAGCTTTTTACTTCATATTTTTTGTATCTTTGAGATTGGAAGCAAGGGAAGTGTTTTATGTGTCTTACTCCACACGAAACAGCCTCTCTACTGGGGTCGTTGTAATCTTCGATGGAAGCAAGAAAACCGAAGGAAAGAGGGGTGTTTGGGGTCTGTTCATCTCACAAAAAGAAAGGGAAAAGAGTTGGAACAAAAAGGGGCACCAACATTTTCTTTTGTTTTAGGACCTCGGTTCATGCTTCAAAGAAAACGATTTGAGATAGAGATCGAAGGTATGAAGGTGAGAGGTGAACAAGCGAGCAGTGAAGTGAATATAAATCCAGATTTTTTTTATTGTTTTAATTTTTTTTGTTGGATGATATCGATGGATGAACTGGGATAGATGTTTGGGGTTTTTGCTTTACAGCGAAATCCATGGGTGTTTGTTCTTGTGTTCTTGACTGGGATTAGATGCAGAAAAGAAAGAACTATGGATGTGTGTTGGTGATTCATGTCATGTACTTCTTTTTCACTCTTCTCATTTGCATTGTTCAGTTCCTAGAAAGACATATTGAAATATATGGATTTGATTTTTTATTTTAATTTGTTCAATTTGAAAATGTTTGCAGGCTTTGAGAAAAAGAGGTTTATGAGGTAATTCCAGTTTGTTTTACTTGCTAAATGTAAGTTGAAAGCTAGGGATTTGATTTTTTTTATTTCTTTTTCACATAATGATAAGGTTAAGTAAAAGTTCTGAGGTAATTCCAACAGAATGTATACGGTAATGGAATCTTGAATTCCAATTATGTCGGAATGGAATCACGAATTTCAATTTTGTTGGAATGGAATATGGATATTTTGTCACTGATTTATGCATGTTCTACAATTCTTTGTTATTGGTTTTGATGCAATTCACAAGTCCCCATATTTTTCCAAAGGAATTTATTTTTTATTTTTCATTTGCTAATGCATTATTGGATTCTAAACTACAATTGGATTTGTTTTCACAGAAGTTGATGCTTGAAGAACGGACCACAAAATTGGAAGTGATTCTTAGCAACATTATTCTTTTAGAATGTATTAGTGTCTTTGTTAGATTTTGATGTTTTTTCCTGATTTGAAAGTGTTTTTAGTTTTATTCTTTAACAATAAATGTAATTCATAGCAATTGTTACTCGTATTGTATAAGTAGTAATGTAAATTTTGTTTTTTATTCATCAATTGATGGGTCAAGAATTTGTCATTCTACAAGAAGTTTTTAAAGTCATGATAAAAAAATAGGTTCAACAATAGTTTTATTATTTTATGGTACAAGAATATTTTTATTTTTGAATATAGTCATAAACATATTCTGTCAGAACGCCCGAATTAAAATAATTATAATTTGAAAAATCGGTTTTTAAAAATTAATAGAATCTATGATCCCTTAAAATATGTAATTTGACTTTATTAAATCTATGTTAATTGACTAAAATACCATTGTAATTATATTAGATGGTATTTTTCAATTATATTTAATTCAATAATGTTTATTAATCACTTTCTTAAAATAACTAAAATGATTGGTCCACAATAAATCCTACATCCACACAATAAACAGTTAGAACACTATAACCTAAGTTCATATATATATATATATATGTCACACCCCCAAACCGGAACGGCGGAAACGTTCGGGGGCGGAGGACGTCATGCTCAGTATCATAACCATAGTGAAGAAAGCAAACACAACCATCATAAATATAATTTAAAAAGCTTACATCGTTGCAAAAATACATGTTTCCAAATAAATTACATATGATGTCAAAATAGTTCAAAAGAAATTTGCGCCTTAGCGTCTTGCCTTCAAAAATATTGTGGTTACCTGTATTGCTGATTACCTGAGAATACAAGTTGTTTTTGAAAGAGTATCAGTATTAAAGCTGGTGAGTTCATAAGCAATTTATGAATGAAAAATGAATGGATGTTGTTCCTTAAAGTTTGTTACAAGTTTGTTTCCAGAAAATCCCATATTTTCTAAAAGGTTTGTTGTAGTCTTAACTGAACCAAGACTTAGTATATGTAAGTAATTCGACATACTTATGTGTGGTTTTATATTTAACTAAAACTCCGTTTTGTGAAAGCCCTTAAATCCCCGTGAACTATGTATTTTGTTAATTCCCCATGTGAGATGTTATAACCATGCTAAAACTCGAAGGCCTCGTACTCGATGTTCTTCAGGCGTCGGAATGTTATGACATTTGTCACCCCAGACCTACCGGTCTAGCTGTTGCAAGCAGCTTAGGTGCGGGTTTGTCAGACCCAATATAGATCTATACACAACTATCACGCTCTCCCTCCAAGAGATTCTGATAACTACAGGACTTTTCTATGGCACTTAAGAGTACCCCGAAGGTGAATGTCTCACAAATTTATTCATTAACAAGTTCACGTAGTTTGTGATGAAATACTCGTTTTGTAAATCGATTGTATTACTGTTTCTTTGATAAACGAAGTGTTCAAACTATACCTATTATAGTTTATCAGTAGTGTGTTATAATTTGATGAAACCTTGATATGTAAGACTTTGTATTTCAATAAAAATGACATTGAAAATACTAAGTGTAAATCTTACACACCTTGCTCAACATGTTACAAGGTGTGAATAACCCTTAAACTTGTTTTGACAGTTTTACCCTAAACTGTCGCTGTTTTAGAGTATTTATAGAAAAATCATCGTAAGTCGAAAACTGAATCCGTAAACTCGGAGTGTTTGGAAAAAAATAGCATATTGTATTCATCAATTTTCCTATAATTTTTGGTGGTCTCAAACCAGTATGAAAATGTTCATCTTCACAACCTGGTCCGATTTTGTTGCTGCAGTGATAGGCAGTTTTGTAAAAATCACCATAAATTGTAGAAAAATCGTATGGAGATGTGCAGGTAGTCATTTTAAAGGTATAAACCTGAACTATTTTCATATGAAACGGTTTTAAAAACATATTAATTTTAAGTTGGGTAAAACAGTTCGTAAACAGGTCACAACTTTTCTGTTGTAAGCTGTCAAGTTAAGTTTTAAATATGTTTTGGTGTTTTAACTTGTATTCCCCCCTGAAAACTAAAGAAAACTGGAAAATGTAGGGGGTATGAACTCACCTTGAGTGATTTCTTGGACAGTGGAAGATCGACGACGAGGAGTATCAATTCAAGAACACTTGATGAACACGTGAAGTGTTGGATGATCCTAAAGGCGATTTTTGATGTTAAAATGTGTGTAGATGATTCAAGGATGTTATGAAAACATGGAATAACACTTGAGTTTAGATGGAATACTTACCAAAAAGTGAAGTAATAGCTCAAGAAATCCTTTAAAAAGTGGTTGGAAGTAGAGGGAAAAAGAGCCTCTCTAGAGAGGTAAGAAAGTGTACAAGTTTTGGAAGTGATCAAAGTGAACCAAGAAATCCTCCAGGGATTTCTTTATATAGATGTTGCTGGAGCAATTTGCAAAGTTGAAAGGATGTTTGCCTTGGTTTGTGTGATGTGGATAGGGTTGGACAAATAAGAAGATGACACATGGAGACAAGTGGGCACACTTGACTCGCTTGTGGTGTAGAATACTCTTCTTAATGTAAAATAATGATTTATAATTAATAAATCCTTGAGATATGAATAAAATATGAGTTTAGGGAGTTTAAATGATAGAAATATGAATTTGGTGAAAAATCCCCGTCAAAAACGTCAAAAACGGGCTTAACAGGCGAAAGTTGTCGAAAACCGGACAATAGGAGCGAACATGCGAGGGTTCGGTTCCTATAGCTGAGGACCGAGAGAGGCAACAAGGGAACCGAAGGAAGGGGCTCGGGCCCGAAGGGAGGAAGGAAGCGAGGCTCGGATCCGAAGGCAGGAGGGAAGCGAAATGGACCGAGGGCTCGGTTCATTTCGGCTGCGAGAGGTTTCGGTCCTAGTTGACTTTGGTTCGGTTCTGAAGGGGACCTTCGGTCCTGAAGAAATGAGTTCGGTTATGAGAAGCTTCGGTCCTCTTAAGATGTTTCGCATCTTAGGGTTTCGCTTCCAAGAGGTTCGGTCCTTAAGAAGGGTTTCGGTCCTAAAGGGTTGTTTTTCAATACAACTCCCCGATTCAAGCGGTTTTTGGCCAAATTGAGGGTCGGGATGACCCGGATGTCTATAAAAAGTTGGGAGAGATTTTAAGAGAGATTTCGGAGAGATTTCAGAGAGATTCAATTTTAGTCAATATTATCGTATTGACTCGCAACGCAAGGTTCGTGAACCCCGTTATGCTTCGTTTATGATCATTTTAAGTCCCCAAAAGGGTCCATAGTCGTGTTTTGATGCGTTTAACTCCCTTCTTAGGGTTTTACATTGCTAAACACATAAAATATCTGAGACACTTGAATTCTTGATATACAAATGCACATTTTCATACATAGAATAACTTTTAACATAGAATTACTAGTTAAGTTCGACCGGTTTGACTTGTTGACTTTGACTTGGAAATTGACGGTTGTCACAATGTATATATATATATATATATATATATATATATATATATATATATATATTATAACATTGTGGGATTGAAATCACTATGTACTCACCAGGTTTCCCAACCTGACCCACTCAGTTAATTGTATCACAGGTAGTGATATTAAAGATACATTCTGCTGAGAGTGTCAAGGAGTATTAGGCCACTAGTTTAATTACTATAAGGCTTGTAATATTTTGTTATGCTTATGTTTCTATATTGACAATGACATCCCAATGTTTTAAGATAAATAAAATACATTTCTTCAGAAATGCTTTGATAATATCATTAACATGTTTTTGGGAACAAATTCCGCAATATTACTCTTCAAAAATGGTACTCTGATTTTTAAATAAGCATAAACAAATCGGTCTTTTCTGGCCGTGAAAATGGGAATGTCACAATATATTCTCAAAGTTTGCATTTTCAGTCTAGTATGTCCCTGATTTTTTCCATGATCTGATGTTGACTCTAAGTAAGGTAAAAATCGTCATTTTGACATATTGGTCCAGATTTAGTTGCACTGATATGCAGTTTTCAAAAATGTATAGAAAATTGTAAAAAAATCATATGGACCTATACAAATAGTCCCTACAAAGATAAAAGTCTTGAATACTGGAACATAGAAAAATATTGTTTAATTTGAAAGCTTTGTTGGTGTTAAAATGGCCTTGAACAGGCTACTGGGTCAAAATCTGGAAGTTTAGTCTAGCAATTTGTTTATGTGTTTGGGATATAGAATACTTATTTTTAATCTTGAAAGCACCTAGTAATATACTTTTGTATGTGGTATTAAGGGAAAGTTTGAAACCTCAAGTGCTTGTGTGACTCGAAGAGGGAAAGGGTGCTTTTTGACAAAGGTGAGTTAATCTTTGTGAAATTTAAGTACTTTGCAAGAGAATTTCATATCTTATAGGGATTGGAATGAACCTAGTTTATATATGTTGCATGTACCCTATTATGAATGATGTGTTATTTGTAACGGT